TAGTAACAATAATTAAGTACAACTAGTATTAGTTAAGTAACGTAACTAGTATTACTAACGAACATAGAGTAGTTACTTAATTTATTATTATATATATATATATATATATATATATATATATATATATAATCAAAAATTTACTTGAACTACCTAGCTTGATATCATGTAGAAGGAAACAAAACAATACAACAAAGTAAATATTGTAAGCCTTTTCCTCTTATGAGTAATTTGACAAAGTTGAACAATAAGTCACTTTTGTTGATTGACTAAATGGTCAACTGATTGCCCATCATTGGTGGATCACCTGAGTCTTGTTTATGTTAATGTGTACCGATTTCACTTGCAGATGGAAGCACATAGGTATGTTTGCAGCCATTTCAAGACCAGGGGTGATCTGTCAACTGTTGCAGTGAAGAGAAATATTTTTGGCTGGCATGGAGTAGATTTAATTTCTATACTTAACAGGCATATATGTTATTTGATTTTTGCAGTGAAAGGGTTAAAATGTCGTATAGTTATCATGCCATGTGATTGAAGTATCTATGTTTCAGATACAGTGATTTAGGAATTATTAATTTTTATTAATGAAGGTCAGGGGTGTCCTTATACAGGTCACCAACCAGGCTTTGAAATTTAAATTGTATGTCAAGATATGAAATGTATGTGAAAGGATATTTATGCATTATTAGAATTGGTTAAATTTAACATGCTAGTACTAGAAATCGTATTTTTTTTGATGATGTGTCTACTTCCCTTGCAGCTTTACAATAACAAAAGAGTGGTGTTTCTGTGTAGATCAGGTTTGAGAACAGGAAAAAATCTGACCTTAGATAATTTTTAAAATTTTTATTAAACTTAACATAATGAAATTATTGAAATAAAAACACGAGTGTTCTGCTGTTTCATTGAGATCTAACGTAAGTGTATTTAGAGCATATTATTATTCCTTATCTGTTGTATTATTTAATAATGATAAAAAAAAATTCTTATTTTACAGCTGATTCGGTTCTTAGTTACTTTGGTTAAGACAAATGGAGTCCCTGGAATTAAACGAAGCCTTCCTCAGGTGTTAAGTAATGAAACTCCCAGCAAAACACCTAGATATTCCAAAGATTTTACCAATGGAGAACCAAGCAGGGTAATTTCAGGTTATAGAGTGATATTCCATCATAATTAGTTAATTGTTTTAACCCTATGGAGACGTGCTATGTGAATTTGACTGATCTTGTAACCACCATGAAACTATACATATTATCTCTGAATGTACTAAGTGTATTTTTTTTAAATTGGCGAAGTATTTTTGGTAAAGAAAAAGAAAACAAATTTTTTCTGTCAGAATTTTTAGTAAAGATTTATCTGTGAATTAATTAAACCTTTACCAAGTCAGTCTGAGTGAAAAGTATTTTTCATGCTTAGAATATAAATATTTGTTTTCATCTTAGTTTTCATATTTCATTTTCATAATCTAGAACCTCGTAAGTTTTTTGGTAAAACTTTATCTCATTTTCTCCATCCTAACACTAAATGTTGCGAAAGTTGAAAAATATGAAATAAAATGAAAAATACCATTTTCTTTATTAAATAGCTGCAGGTTATAACAGACAATTACAATAATTTTTCTAAACGACTTCAGTCTTTACTGTTTTATTGCTCTTTGGACCATGTCTAACTAGTATAACAGGAAAAAATCACCCAACAACAGCTCAGAATAAACAAGCTATTGAGTTGCATAACACACAGCAGCCCAAGTGCATTTTGTTCATTTAAGTTTGTTAAACAAGTATATAACAATAATGAAAATTTTTACATGAAAACAAACAAACTTAGCACTTACTTTACCTTGAGGACTTTTGCACTTGGATGCATGAGTTAATATATCAAGCACTAGAATAGAATCTTCCTAAACTACTATAATGTATGTTTTTCTAACCTATAAATCGGTTAAAGAAATTCCATTACTGCTCTGAGCAACACCTTTAGTCTAAATACATCAAGCTCTCTCCGTAAAGTATCAGCTTTGACTGCTAAAAATCACAGTTGTGTGATATAGCTTAGAATATACTCTTTCTATTGATTTTAAAAATGCCCAATGTTAGAGAGAATTCCACATTTCTTAAAAGATAGGATATGGGAGGAGTGTGTCAATGTGAGTTACAAATACAGTGGTGTGTCAGTAAAGGAAGTAGGTAAGAGACTGAAATTTTGTATTCTGGCTTGTCAATACCTGTAGTATTTCTTTCTGAGTGGTAGAGTAACGAGAAGCTCTTATAATTGAAGAGAAAAATCTGTAAATGAGATTTCAGAGCACCACAGTGACATGTAGGTCAGAGGTGCAGATTAAGTATTTATTTAAATATTTCCTTTTGAAACTTGGAAATTAAATCTTAGATAATATAAAAAAAGCCAAGTTTATTAACATAGTTAAATTTTGAATGTCACTCTGTTAAAAAAAATAAAATAAAATAAAAAAGGAAGAAACGTGCACTTTGAACCCTCCATAGGGTTAATGTATGTAAATTATGATATCTAAGATAAATGTACTTTTAGGTTTCCACTTGACATGTAAGGTCTGAAGGTACAACAAATGCTTAGTGAGATGGGACATTTAACAGCTTTTACAAAAATCTGCCTTTCTAGCAGTTATCAGTAGTATATTTTGTATTTGTTTATTTATCATTACTAAAGCAATGAAATGATTTCATAAGAAATTAAGAAACCTTTCTTAAGAAAAGTTATATGCATCTTTCTTATTGTACTTTTTATTATACTTTAATTTCCTGCATCAAATGTATTGAGAAATAGGTAAGATTTAATTAAAATTGCAAAGAAATTGTTGTTATATGTTCCATGTAATTATTGTCATAAAATTTAGGAATATATTTTAAGCAAAATTCCACATATTTTAAAAAAAGGCTTTCACTTTAACCCCTTACCTGCCTTGGCCATTTTGTCTTACCATGAGGGCCAAATCACATTTGTGAATTGAAAAAATTATAGAGAACTTATCTTTTATTGGATTTCAGATTTTATTTTTTTGTAAACAGTAACATGATATTCAATTATTTGTACAAAATTGTATTATTTAATGAAGTTTAAAGAGAAATTTTATTTTAAAAAATCCCAAAATACATTTGAGACTAAATAAGCTCCCTCTGACAAGAAAATTTTTTTACAAATGTTTCCTTGCACTTCAGTGCTGGTCCTGCCATCTCTGATTGGTATCTAAACCTTTTTCTAGTCTGTTTTCTTTATAAAACAGCGTCTGGGTGTGTTAAACCTCAGTTGTAAAACTTTTAGCTAATCATAGTCGAAGGCATCAATTTCAATACCATGTTATTCCAATCTCTGTATTTCACATTTGACAAATCATAGGATGATAAGCAAAGCACATGACGAAATGTTTGCAATATGAATGTGGGTGGTGCTTATTATAGTAACTTTCATTTTATGTGGAGGTTGTATTTAGTATTGGTCAATAGTACTTTTTTATAAGCCTTAGAAAACTTGCTTCTGGAAAAAACTGCATGGGATGTATATGACTTTTATTATTTTTCTATAGTAGCTTAAGTCATGCTGTATCATATATCTATTTATATTTATCATAGGTATATTTTTTAGGAAAGAAGTTGATCCACGAATGTTAGAGTTAAGAGCTATCAAGTGGAAATGCAAGGTCTTTATGTGAATTAGGCTTAGCATTTTGAACTGAAAGAATTTGTGATTTCTTATATTCTTTAGCATTTAAATTAGTAGTTTTAAGTTCAATAATTTAGCATAATTTTATATTTAGTTTATAATAATAATAATAACTTGATTCAGTATTTAGAATGATAAGCTTGTGTGATTTGTATGTATTACTACTAGTACCAGTACCACATAATAATTTTATATATTTCCTTCTTACTATCTTTACTTTGTAGTAAGACCCACACTTCTGATGTTGTTGCTTTAGAATAGAAATAGTCTAGCTGATATATATATATATATATATATATATATTATATAAAGTTTATTACTGATATTTTGCAAATGATGTACAAGTGACAACATAAAACCCATATGTTGGTTGTGAAACAGACTAAATACATTCGTCTCAATAATGCAGGGGAAGCAATGAGAATCTCACAGTTGGGTGTCTCAATACACTGAATAGCTTAAGTTTTGAATTCCAATATAAATCTTGCCTATAATGAAAGGAGTGTGGCCAGGACTAATCATTTAAGTGCTGTAAAGTAATTTTCTTTGTAATTAATGGTGTCTGTATCATTTGGTAATCTCTTCTAACAGGATGTATCAAGTAACTAGGGTCAGGCAGTGTTATTCAGACCACCTGTACTGAAACTATTACATACGTTCGCTATTGTGGCAATTAGTTTTGTCTGTATAGTGAAACAACAAACAAGGACATATGTTGAAATAAACTTGTTTGAAAGTTCAAAGAAATGACATTCAAGTACCGAAAAGCTTTCTTATTCTCATATCTACAGTAATGTTCAAATGTGCCTGCATTGGACTGAATGAGAGTGACCACCAACAGGCATGATAGTTTATAGCAAATGTACGAAGTTCACGCTGCTAACCTCACAATTTATTCGGCACAGTAAACAAAAGTACAGCTGCAATGAAACATAAACATGAAATCCTAGTTAAAAATAAAAATACTTGTTTAGGTTTACCTAGAAATATTATTTTCTGGTCTTGTGTATTACTTGAAACCATAAGGAGAGTACGTGATAATTAAAAATAGACAAAATTTACATTTTATAGATGATAAAAAGTTTTGAGGGATTTTAAAATAATGTACTAAAACATAAAAAGTAATAAGTTCAAATCTGGAAGAAATATAAATATCGTAATCATTTCTTTAAATACCATTTCCTAATGTAATTTTCCAAGATATTAAAGATCATAATGCAAAAAAAGTAATTTTATCAAAAGTAACAGGCTTTGTGTTTCTTAAACTACATGCATTTATGAAAGTTGTTATGAAATTTCAAACAATTTCATTCACTAGTTTTATTGTTGGAATGAAATATAGCAAGACTTGCTTTGGCTACTCAGAAGGTTAGTAGCTGGTGGTCATCGGGTTAAACATTGGGGAAAAGTATTTATACAAAGGAATTCTAATATTGCCATATGCTCTGTATTTTATATAATGTTAGCAAAAGAGAAAGGTTTTGCTACTGCTGCATTTCAGTACTATTGTTTTTTATTTTAAGCTTGTGTAAATTATCTTGACAAATGTATGTTAGAGATATTTTGATTTATTAAAGGGTACCATGTTAACTTTAGAAAATACCCAACAGGCCAGACAGAGGTTTTGGGGCCAATAAGGAATGACAGTAGTGGAATATTTTTTTTTTTGAAGTGAAGCAAAATTTAAATAATTTACAATAATTACTGTACAAGTATTTTTTCATCTTAAATGTCATTTCATTTCTAATAAGGATATTTAATGAGTCAATTTAATATTTTATTAAAAATCACTTAATAGTGATTTGATCATATCTATTTATTACTCAAGTATATTATTAAATGTATGAAGCCACAGATTGAATGAACTTGTCACAGTTATCTGAGAGTTTATAATATTTCTGAGATATGATAAAACCCTAACAATGTAAATCAGTTGTAAAATTTGATTAGTTATAATTAGTAATAAATATAATCAAAGTGTAATTAATATTTTTGCAATCTCAAGTATCCGTGTATTTCTGTTATAAAGGCTTGAAAAGTTTGAAAAGCATGCCTTCTTGCCATATTTGTAATTACCATCAAAATAACACAGTATATTCTACAAGAATTAATAAGCATTCAAGTGAGTCTCATGTCAAAAGTGATATAATTAACTTTCACTTTAGTTTCAGGTGAATTAAAAATGTTTTACATAAAAATTTGAAAAGGAATTTTGAGAATTTTTTAAAATTCAACTTCATAATGTGAAACATGTACTTCCATAAATAATAGGCAGATAAATGTTCCATGTACCAGCCCATTTTGAAGCCACTGAACATTGTCACTGGTTTTATTTTTTTGAATTCTGGGAAAAGTAACTTGACATTACATGATATCACTAATTTTCATGATGGACGGTTATTGTTGTTTTACAGTCTGGTAAAAGTATCTTGGCAATAGATTTTAATGATAGAGAGTTGTTATTGATTTTTAGTCTAGAAAAAGTACCTGAACAATAGATGATGTTGCTGATTTTCATGATGGAAGGTTGTTTTTCAGATTGGTAAAAGTACATTAACACTGGTATTAATGATGGAGGAGTATTTTTGCTTTTTAGTGTTAAAAAAAATGTCTTTTTTTTTTCAGTCTAAAAACAGTACTTTGACAATACGTGATGTCACCGATTTCCTCGACGGAGGAGTTGTCAGTCAAGACCCTCATCCTATTGTTACTTCTCCTGAGACCATTTCTCCAGATAATGTGACCTCACCTGATGAAACAGTATGTTTTTCTCCAGATAACCTTGAGACTTTAACTAACTGTGATTCAGTGTAAGTATCTGTACAAAACCACATTTAAGATTTTATCATTAACTGTGTGAGTTAAGTATATGCTTACAATTGTGAAAGTGCATCTGATAGTAAAGTTATCTTTAAGGGGAGATATTACTCTAGTAACATAATTAATACTATATCCAAATTTCAAAGACTCGTTGATGTTTATATTACTGTGACATTGTTCTTTTGTTGGGCAGTTCCTTTAAGTTATTCGGTGAAAATAGGCCAAGTCTAGTCCATATAATGAAGCAAAGTTTATTTCTTTCTTATAATTTTTACAAGTTGTCTTCACTTGTACAGTGTTGAAACTTGTAGGCCTAAGGAAATCCCATGCTTATTTTACTTATACTAATAAAAAAATTAAACTTGTACAATTTCATGGCTGATTTATCATGTAACTCAATAAATGTGATGACTAAATATGGATTAATATACTTCACTGAAGCTTTATCTTTGCTGAATTACTGAAAAAACTAACTTAATACTCACACTTCACCACTTGCTGGTTCACTTATTTATAACTAATCCTTGTTTTACATATATATTGCAAAGCCTCTAGATCATTACATCATCATTACAACCAGCAACTCCCTCTAACAAACAAATTGTATCTTGAAAACATTGTTTATAACACTATCTCTTCTTGGGTTGGGAAGTACCTTGAACAATCCTAATACAAAAATAAAACCCCACACTAAACTGTCCATTCACCAAGCCTTCTTCGTGATTTTCTCTTCCAAGGCCCATGATATATTTTTAAATAAAAAATCTAATGACAAACTTTGAATAAATAAATTTTGATTAATTGTAATATTTTTTTTTTTACACCGCTCTACTTCATATCATTCATTTGACTTTTTCATTCTGTAGAACACCATCCAAAAGTCCTTAAACAGCATAAAGGCTGTAAAAAGTTAATTATTATTTCATAGATATTCCTTACCTTTACTGAAATATCTGAATGATGCTGGCTTAAATGTCTCTTCAGATGTATGTTGTTCTGTCCTGACAGCCTGTAGCCACATTGTTTTCTTCATTTGTAATAATAAGTTTTAAAAAAATTTTATTTATTTTTTTGTCGTGTATAAAATATTGCCACATATCTTTTTATTCAAACAGAAAGCATTTACTCGATAATGTTTAGCTAGCATTAGGTATACTGTATCAACCATAGATTTAAAAAGTATATCGGCCAAACACCAGCCAAGAATTTGGCATGCATCAAACAATGGATTTTGTTTTGCCCACAACTAATTTTAATGATTGCAGCTGGTGAACCATTTGTAAAAGTCATGGGTTGGGTGGAATTTCAACAGCTTGTTTTCATAAGTATTTTCATCAAGAAAGCTAATTTTAATCTATTCTTAGTCAGTTATTGTAACTGATTTGTGGGGTCCCTATTGTCATCATCATCATTCTGGAAGATTTTCATGCACTAATCACCATTGTTGACAAAAAAAAACTACAAACATTTTCATCTAAATATTCATCAATACAATTATCACTGATTCCATTAGCTTGTTTTCTTTTTTAATAAACATAATGGAAATTTTCTTCTATTATGGGGGGGGGGAGACCAAGCATTTGGCTTCTGATTTTGGCAATCAACCAGAAGCACAGCATTTTATCTTGCAAACTTGATAGTTTCAGGTTGATTTTAGAAGTGATTACTTCTGCAAGAAAGAAACTAAGTGCTCCATGCAATGTATGTAGAGCATTTGTTGTAATTACACAAAACTTTTGGTGAATGTTTTTACACTAAGAATGATAAATGTGTAATTGTTCCTTGTCCTCACTATATTATTTACATTTCTTTAGGTATAGGAGAGCAATTTGATATTTCTAAAGATAATACCAGAATGAATTAAGTCATGAGTAGAGCTTATGTTCAATCAACAGTATTGTGTTCATGTGGAAAAAGCATCCAATATCTAATAAAGTAACCTGACTGTTTTGGGGATATAATAAAAAAATATATATATAGTATCGTTTATTTACTTTATTGTATTTACTTTTTTGATGGAGAGTGATTTTATATATATATAAATAAAACGATAATTTGTTTATCACAGAAATATATTTTCAGATGCTTTTGATGTAAAGGAATTTATTATTGTTGTTATTGATATAAAAAAAGTAAATGTCACAAGAGAGAGCTAAACTGGAAAGTTGCTAATTGGGTAGAAGAGGGTTAAATTGATTTTTAACATAACAAAATGTATTTTTGCAGTGAATGTCATAAAAATGTACACATTACAATATTAAATAAGTTCTTCTGTGGTAGTAATTCTTAATTTTTGTCTGTTTGTTTTTGTTTTTTTTTAAATCATTTTTTGTAGTTTGTGAACACAAACTTAAAGCTGTGCAAAGAATATGTGCATGTAAGTATTATTATTAGAGAGAGAGGACTATATGTTGTTTGTTATTTTGTTTTTTGAAGGGATCCCAAATCAATTCAAGGAGCTGATACTAACTCTGAAGGTATACTTGAACCTTACCTTTCTGATGCCCATTTAGATAAACCTGAATTATTTGATGCAAATGAACCAGAACCAAGCACATGTGCCATCAGTTCTACACTAAATACTCCATCTCCACCTCATGTTTCTTCTCCCGTTTCTTTACTTTCAAGTCCCGACAGTATGGTTTGTTGTACTTCATTACCAACCCCTGTCTGTGTGGAGTCGAATAACAACAGCAATCAACATGAAGATGGGGGTGTTGTACAAAGTGTCACAGAAAAAAATAAGTCATCTAACCAAGAGAAAGAGCTTCAGTTGTCAATATCTGAACCCGTGAAGTTGAGGTTGGTATATTTGAAATACAGATCTTACATAAATCCTCTTAGTATAAAATGCATCATTATCAATCAAGCTAGAAACAATATTTCACTTGAGAGCTTTTCAAGAATTTATAGCTTTCAGGAGAGAAAGTTTCTGTAATCAACATTTATGCAAGTTTCTGCAGTATTACATTATTTATTACATAAGTTATTTTGAGTAAATTCCTGAAAATATACACGTGTTTTTTGTGTTTGATCTCTTTATTTTTGTATTTTATTTTGCATCTAGAAATTAAAAGTTTTTAGAATAAATGCTGTAACCATATATTTTTGGCAGGTGCGTCATCTATACTGTAAAACAATGTGTTTGTGTTTATCTGTACATAAAAAAATTCCAACTTACCAACCTCTGATCACCAATTACTTCATTTGAAACTTAGATTCATTATGAATACTCTGCCTAAACAACCTATCAAAGAATACATTATTCACATGTTTTATGATGTAATCATTTCCTAGTTAATGACAGTTTTTAAATTTAATCTTCACTCAAAATGTGCACTAAAGAAGTTAAACTGATCATCTTAAAATACAACTTTTGTTTTTTCTCCCTTAGACAAAACTTCACTGACTACTTAGAAGATATTGAGACTGAACTTGATTGGTTCCAAAAGATACTGTCACAAGATTCTTTGAATATTGATGCAAGTAGACTAAATGGGGTAAATAGTCAATGTTTACTATAATGCTATTTAAAATAGATTGGATTTTCATATAATCGTAATTTAACATTAATGTAGAAACAATGCATAGAACTGTATATAGTTTTGTATTTTTGAAGTTTAGTAACCATTGGTTGCTATTACTGACAATGAAGTAGTTAATTTTTATCTTTAAACATTACTCTATGCATTTTCTTAATGTTAAATCAACCTTTATTGTACATAGTTTTGAATATTTTTCTTAATATTGCAAAGTAAGTGTTTATGTTGTTTATTATTTAGTTAATAGATAATATCAATTGAAATATTAATGTGTTTTGTTATAAAACTCTTTCGTTTCAATTGTTTCACAGTTTAGTTTTATCAGATGTATATTCATAAAATATTTATCTATATTTTGATTCTGTATAATAATGTCAAGAGAATTACTACTATTTCCATTATTAATCATTCTCTGTAGTAATAGCAAAAAACAAAGAGCAAACCTGGAAATAGGGCTGAGAAATTGTCCAATTGCTGGTTGTTAAATGTAGCTGCTGAACAAAACTTTTAGACCTAATGTTCCTAACTAATCACAGAAAGTTTTTAAGAAGTCTTAAAATCATCATTATTTCTAAAGACAAAAAAGTATATATAAATATAATTTTTAAGACATAAGATTAATAGAACATTAAGAGAGAGGTTTTACTGTTCCCTCACAATTTCCAATGTTTATTTTTATCATATTTCAAAGTTAATTCCAAGATGGCAATTGTTGAAAGAAATTGTATGTAACACTTAATATTTGTTTCTCTTTAGAATTTCTGTGATAACAAAATCTAATCTTTAAAAAAAAAATTTCTTACTAAAATATTTTAATGAATTCATAACCAAACTGTATATGTGAGAATAAATCATACTTATGTATGAAATAATGATTATTTTTTTATTGTTTTCCCCTTTTTTTGTTTTTGTAACTTCCTAATATTATTTTGATTAATAATACACTACTATTATCTGCGGACTTACCACAGGTAGCCCATTGTGTAGCTTTATGCTTAATTACAACCAACCAACATTTTTCTTCCTGAAAAATTTCAAGATTAATAGTTTCACTAATATGCAATTCTCTTTCTTTGTAAAACATAGCATAAAGAGAACTAGGTTTTGAGTTTTTTGTTCATCATTGTTAAGTAACACCTTTTTTCGTTCTGTGTATGATTGTAAATATTCTTCACCTCCTAAACAACAACAAAAAATGTAGATGAGATGATTTGATATTCTGTAATCCTTTTTTCTCCTTTGTTTTTATTTCATTGTGGTTTTTTTTGGTTATCGCAATTCCAGTTTGTAACAGTATTTCTCAGTAAATTTTGAAGATTAATGATTACATCAGTGACATAATTAAAAACACAATTGTAAACAGCATAATCTTGCTACCTTTAAAAGTTATGGTTTAAAAACCGAAAGTTGACAAAGCATTAGAAACCAGTATGCCTAAAATTTGTGGCATTAGGCAATGACAAACGATAGATTTGAAATGCTTTTTTTTTTCACATCTTTGGTGTGGTATCCAAAATGAAAATGTTAAGAGGAATGTAAAAACCAAAAATTTGCAGCTTAAATGATTTTTATCACAAATGGAACTGATTTCTAATATGTTACCAGCTTTTTTTAAAGTGTTACTGAAAAATAAATTAAAATAATCTCGCTACCTTCCACAGTCAGAATAGGAATAATATCAGCCATAAATGTTGAATATATAGGAAAACTTGGAATCTCAGTTTAATAATCTCACTCCCTTCTGCAGTCAGAATAGGAATAATATCAACCATAAATGTTGAACATATAGGAAAAACTTGGAATCTCAGTTTCCAGGCCTGACCTGAATCCAATAAAATAACTTTACTGTGATGAAATGTTTATGTACATAGCTTGTTGTATTTAATTATTTTATTACTTCAACTCCCCAAAATTTGCTCTAATGGAAGATATAATCACTGATGAAGAAAAGAAGATTAAAAGACTTTAAATATAATCATAGATCCTCAAAGTGAATTAATCTCATTTCTTGAAGCACTGTTTCATCCTTTATTAGTAGTTGCTGAATCAATCACAAAATTGTTTAAATGCATAATAACAAATTTAATTGTTTAGAGCAAAGTTTGGGTGTGAAAAGTTGAGGTTAGGATTCCTTAAGTTTAGAAAAAGTTGTGAAATTTATAATAATAAAAATAAGCCCTTCAGTTGGGTCTCACAACATGACTTGTGTGAAAGCCTTGGCTCAGATTGCCAAAAATAAATTTTAATAAGGTTGTTTTGCATTTGTTAAAATTTTGATTTAAAGAACGGATGCAGAACAGAAAAGGAAAGTACTAGATGTTTTTCATTTCAGACCATTAGAAATCTTTTGATGCAGAATACAGAACAAGATGCAAATAACAGCAAGAGGCAGAATAGCAAAGTAAGCAAAGCACTATAGTTCGTTTAAAAGAAAAGCTTTGGGACTGGAGAACTAGGATAATTTTATGTTTGCTGCTGTATCTAGGAGCTAGGAAGCATGACTTTCCAATCTCCCTGTTAAGGTTGAAACACATAAAACTGTCCTATAGTTTTTCTAACAATGTATATGTGTTTATCCTTTATCCACTAGTTAAATCAACGTGACTGACTTTCACATTACTGATCTGCAGATTGTCCAGTGGCTTCTTAAATGAAGAACTAATTTTTTTTCAGAAACAGAATTGTTAAACATAACTTAATAAATTACTTTTAAAGAAATTGATTTATAGTCTTTGATAAGTACCGTTACATGAAATACCTTGCAACACAAATCAGTAAAATTGTGAGGCTAGCCAGTGATGATTTCCTGATTGCTACGACAAAAGTAGTTTTCCAATTATATTTACAACCTCTGTTTACGAGCACATAAATTTCTCCTTGTACAGATTTAATGATATAAGTAATTAAACAAAAGTTAAATGTGAGGAAGTAAAAAGGTTTCTCCAAACCTGTTCCTCTTTCAGTGGTTTTGCTAGACGGTAGATAGGGACAGTGGGAATCTTATTAATCCACTCTTGTTATTACTGATTAGATGATGAGGCATTGGCTACCTTAAGAGAGTCATACATATGTGCATGAATTAGTTTTCACCTGGATTTAATTTGTTTACATAATAGCTGTGTTACTTGAAGTAAGACATAATGTACATGATTATGATCAGGTCAGTGATTGTGAGTTTTCAGAAAAATACAGACAATTGTTACTTTATTTACTATGTTCATTTCAGAAAATGTAAAGTTTGTTAATGAATCTTTTCCACATGAAATTTTGTATTTGCATGAATACTTTAGTATGTTGGATGTATTATTGCTGGTTGAAATTACTTTTATTGTACAATAGCTTGTCATATTGTAAAAGGTCTTATAAATTATTATTGGAATTGTGTTGCAAGTTTGGCCAATAAGAGTGGTCCCATGGTGTCATTATTAGGTTTGGTATACGAGTGACAGAAACATTAAAATAGCCTTCCAAGATGTTCTAAATGTTTTATATGCCAAATGGAATCTTCTGAAATTGTGTTTGGTTATATTAATAATCTTCTAAACGGGATTGGGACAACAGTAAGCCTACAGACTTACAACACTAAAATCCAGGGTTCCATTCTCCGCAGATAGCTGGTGTGGCTTTGCTCTAAAACAAACAAACATAGCATTTTTATTTTTATTTTGGGTTTGTAGTTTTTGGATAATTTGTAATAAATTTAGCATGTGAGTGGGTTTCTGTTCAGATATTAGCATTGTGTTATTTTTCACTAAAATATTCTAATTAAAACTTGCTACTTAATTCAATGTTACCAAACTTTAGCACTTCTTCAGGCATATAAGGAGAATCAAGATGTTCTGTTCATCATAAAAAAAAAAAAGATTTAGCTATTCCATAGTAAGTTTGCTAACAAATGTTTCAGTTAATGGAATAAAATGCTTTTGAGCAAAAGAACAATTAGTCAAACTCAATCCGTCTGACACCCCTGACACTTATTTTTCTTTTCTAAAGAATGTGTGACTGTTTTTTAGTTAATTACTCAAATTTTTTTCTTTATTTGATTAAGCATAATGAGCCGGTTATGTAAACCATTCATTTTAGTTTAATACCGTATTAAGTTTCTGAATAAAATATATTGACAGTTGTAGAATTGAAAATAAATGACTAAATTACATTGATCAAGTGTGACATGAATAAACAAAATTCAGTAAATATATACATTGAAAGATTATATTACAGACGTATGCATTTGCTTATTTTATTTTCAGATAGGAAGCTAGGTACTTTGTTATAGTTTTTTTTGTTTATCTCTATTTATGTGCTTTGTGTAAACGCAAGGTATTTTGTATAAGACCTAAGTACACGAGAAAGATGAAGCAGAGCAGTTTGGAAATGCAGTAATTATGATATTGCAAATTGGAGATAGTGGAAGGATAATATGGGAATTAATATGAAATAGAAATAATACATTATAAATCAGTATAGGCAGAGGAAGAGGTGCAAGAAGTAAAAGTAGGTAAGAGGAAATAAGTATTAAGAATCAGTGTAGAATACAGAAAGATGATGTGAACTAGTATAATTATAAAAGTTAAACCAAAATGTTAATAAGTGGCTTTGACTAAAAGTTAACTTCAGAAATTAGTCTAAACTAGATAAAATAAGAGGTATAATATAAAATTATGTTAGCCAAATTTTTAAGGACCTATATTAAAGATTAAAGAATTACATAAATGAATGACTTTCCATGTTAACTAAACTATAAACCCTAACAAATTTCAGGTATTCAGTGATGATGCCAAGTCTACAAACACAAAACTGGTAAGAATATGACCTTTTCTTCTGAGACTTACGTTGTTTTTTTTTTACATTTTAACAAATAAATAAATGCTGTAACTTGCCCCTTCTAATTTTTCTGCTGGGTCCAAGTGATATGATTATGAACTAATTATAATTTCTTTGAGAATTTCTACATATAAGCTTTTAAAGTAAATGTAAGAAATTAGCACAGGTATTAAAGTAGTTTGGTAAAAGATGTATCTATCCAACTTACTCAAACTATAGAAGAAAGTATACTGAAACCTTCCTATACATCTATTTAATTGTACAACAGTGAATAAAAACTTGTAACTCTGGTGACTTAGCTATACTTAGCCTTGACTGGAAGATGCATTTATTTGCGATTGCTTAAAATTCACTTCTGATCCCACTGACCAGAAAGGTTGGAGAGAGAGAGATATAGCAATGATGTTGTCTGTCCATCTATCTGTAGATACTATAACTAGAGTTCTAAACAGGAACGTTAATCTGATTTCACAGGTCACTTCCCTGAAGCTGGGGAAAAACTAATGATTTTATGGTTAAAAAGAAGGGTCAAGATTAATATGTCAATAAATAGAAATTTTATGTGCAATAGAAGACATAACTACAAAATACACAAATACCATACATATCAACACACACAAAATAATAGCCAGAGGTATGTATGCATTTTTGCTGAGGGTTATTGTTTAACTTATCAACACACGCAAAATAATAGCCAGAGGTATTTATTCATTTTTACTGAGGGGTATTGTTTTACTTGGTTTGTTTTTCATATCTCTTGCATGCACTGTCCAGCAGTAGTGTAGCTGAGTAGCATGTTTCAGAACATGAAAAAAAAAGTATAATGCAAATAGACTTTCTTTAAATTAAGTATTTTCTTTGTGAAAAAGTCATCCTGTTTCAGTAGTGAATATTTTTAGTTGTGTAGTGTAGAAAAATTGTCATCCTGTTTCAGTAGTGAATAGTTTTAGTTGTGTAGTGTAGAAAAAGTCATCCTATTTCAGTAGTGAATAGTTTTAGTTGTGTAGTGTCGAAAAATAGTTATCCTGCTTCAGTAGTGAATAGTTTTAGTTGTGTAGTGTCAAAAAATAGTCATCCTGTTTCAGTCGTGAATAGTTTTAGTTGTGTTGTGTAGTGTAGAAAAATATAATTCAAGCTAGGGTTTTGAGTAAATTAATAAATCTAAACAAATGAACATTTTTAAGTAACTTTTTTATATGTTTATGGTTTATGAGTGTAAGTTATAGCTTTAAGGTGAATGAGAAAGTAAGATTTTTTCAAGTTATTATATTTAATTATAATTAAATCAATTGTATAGGTTTTAGTGCTGAAATATTGGACAAATGCATCATATTTTTGTGGAAGCTTTACTAGAACTAAAGTGCAATATACAATAAAAACATTTGTACAAAAAAATACACAATCTTAAGGAAGCATTAATGTGCTTAGTGATGTAATTAAAACGTTTCACTCGTTTGTGTTGTGTGCAGTATAATGTTTGTGCTTGTGTTATTATGTATACATATTTCTTTGCCTTGTCTTTGAACATCAGAGGGCTAGTGGGCTAACCCTTTAGTGCTTGCAAGTAAGGCATTTTTAGCAACTCAAAATAATAAATACTTCTACACTCACAAACTAGGTTCGTCCTCAGTCCTAACTTTGGAATATTGGGATGAGCTGCACTTTGGATACCTGTGTAATATTTTATTTTTTAGCTGTATATACTTCCTCATCTCAGATTTGAACTTGAGGCCCCTCACACACTAGGCAAGTGCTCTACAAACTGAGCTTAAAAGTTTAGCCTCCTACCAGTTGCTAGTATGGAACTTTTTAGCAACTCAAGCTCTCCTACATTTGTACAAAAAAATCTTGTATATAAAACTACTTATTTGTGTAGTGTTGGCAGTGATCCAGGAAAGCTAATAACATTGGGCTTCTTTTTTATATTTTTTTGTTGTTTCTAAGATAATTTAGTTATTTTTATATCTGTTGGAATTAAACTTTTTATTCAAGTTGAAGATGAAATTGGAACTTTAAAAAAAAATTGTAGGTTTATATTTTGTAAGGTTTCTTCTGTGCTTCTGTGGAATTTGCTCTGTCTATATATATATATTGTATAACATTTTTAGGATTCAAAGAAGAAGAATAAAGATGTTTCAAATGAGATAAAAGGTCAGTAGTGTGAATTTTTTTCTTAAAAATTGGATAGAAAATATATTCATTTTTTTTATATATATATCTTTTTTTTTTAAACATTTTCTAGTTTATATTTTTTGTTTATATACACATGTGTGTATACTTAGAGACTTAGTAAACTCACATGAAATGGAAATTCTCTACTTTTATTAACTTTGTTTTTACCATGTACATAATTCCTTGTGAAGGATCTCTCTCTTTCTCTCTTCTTCTTCTTCTTTTCTTTTTATATATATATATATATAATCAGCATGTAATTATTGTTGAGAAAATCATGCGGTTGTAATTTAAGTAATTCAAAACAACAATAATGGATCAACTCAGCCATATAATACATTTTTATGATCATCTGTAATTCTAGGAAATGAATTGGTTCAGTACAACCCTGCACTCGTAGCTGGCAGTGACAGCTCAGACAACTTGATTACTCTATTGTATAATCTTTCTTCAGACACCACACCAGTAACTAGTAATAGCTCTCAGACGTCTGAACAATCTGCAGTCACAACGTTGGCCAACAATGGAAATCTTGACTTTCCCATTGCCACTGAAGCTGACATCAGTTTTCCTGAAGTTTCACTAAGCGAAAGTTTTACTGAAGTACCACCTTTGGGAATCGATTCCTTTCTTTATGATGGTGTCTTGTTTAGTGATGATGAAAGCTCAGTGTTGTAAAGTACATCTATGTTATGTATGACTCCCTCCTCCCAATAAAAGAAAAAAAAAATCCAATGTAGGGTTTAGGTTAATATAATAGTCTCACCCCATCTTTCACTTTGTTATAATGTAAAAGATCCTGTCACACTGTTGTTTTGAAAGGTTTTATCTCGGGTATAAATGATTAGGAGGTTTATCATATTCCACAAAAGACCTCTGTATTGCTAACAGTTTTAAATACTTTCATTAGATAAATCACAGCTGACATTTAAAAGTTTTTGGTAATAAGTATAAATAGTTTTTTTATAGTGTTTCTGTAATGCTCAGGCTTTCTGATACTAATAAAATGGGTGTTGTTGTTGTTTTACTTTACAGAGAAAAAACTGAAAGAACTGAGGTGGTGAGATTGTAAATTTGATTTATAACAATACTAAATGTAGCAGTGATGAACTAATGTAAATAACAAGTTAATTGAGGTGTGATACTCTCACCGTAGAAGTGCAGGAAAAGTTTAATAAAGAATTAAACTCTCTGAATGTTGTTTTTTCCATTCTTTTTTAATAATTCATGTGGAGCTCTTTCTACAACTTTAAGTGGTTTATTTCTGTTTTGTTGGTGGTTGTGCAGACACTTACAACCTCCATATTTGAAATTTGAAAAAGGTGGAAAGCAAAAGGTTAAGTTTTCTTTGAAAAGCTGTTCAATCGAGCATTTCATTTTTAAAATTGATAAGAAACAGACGTATTGCATTTAACAGGGCACCAAGAAATGTTGTGTTGAATGATCAGATTGATTTATTATTGGAATTATGTAACTAACTAGGTTATTCCTTGTAAAACGAGAAGTTTGATCTCAAATATTACAGGTGTTTAAATTAAACGTAATGTCAGATTTAATGTTTTAATTCCACATAACTGTTGATGAACATAATAACATCAAATGCTCCAGTTTCTCTACTATACTATTGAAATCTTGACCAAAAATTGGAACAAAGAGTCACAGTTAGAATGTTTTATTTCTTATGAAAAAGGAATACGACTTACAAATGTATGTACATCTATATACTAAAAACCTTATGGTGTAATATGTTTGTGATTATATTCAAAACATTTGTAACTGCACAATAATCATGAAATTTATTACCAGAAGAAAGAGAAGTATTGTGTGACACTGATAAGGTAAAGTGTTATTGTTCATGTAAGCCAGCTTCATACGTGTGTGCCTTTACTAGTCTGTATTAAACACTGGAGTTCTTTTTGGAAATTGTGGAAGCTATGTTTTTCTGTGGATTGAATATTTCAATAATGGTTTTGTTAAAGCATGCTGTATAATATATATATTGTGTATTTTCAATAACTGGTTTTTTGCAATTTATTTTCATACAGGTGTATACCTGCTTGACAGCATGATCAAGGGATAGTAATGTCTTTACATCTTCTTCACTTTTCACTTTTTTTCAATCACTGCTCCAAAGTTTGTTTTACAAATATGCAACATTTAACGTTTTAATAATCATGGCCTTTTATTACTAGAAAAGGAAACTAAAAATATCTAGTACTAGATAGAAAGCCACCTACTTTTTTAATATAAGAAACCAAGACATTATTTAAACTGAAAATTAGACATTCATAACTGTGTCTATTATATTAGTTTTGTGTT